GCTCATGCCTCCCGAGGATGAGGAGGAAGAAGATCTGCCTTCGGACGGCTCCGATGATGAGGTGTATGATGAGGACGATGAGGGGACGGCAAGTATCAATGAGCCTGGCATGACGCCCAGTGTTGCGGGGAGTGATCATGGGGAAGCCATGTTGAACCGCAAAACTTCTGGGGCCCCTGTTGGTGCTCTGCCTCTGACCAATGGTTCTGTGGCTGTTCGAGCCGTAGAGGTGGCTAACGTTGTTTCTGCCGGGACACCAAGCTATCCGGGCCCTCAGACCCATGTCCCAACCGAGTGCAGCGACTCGGCTGAGCACTATGAGCGGCCCCTCACAGATACCATCATCCCCGCCCCATTAGGCCAGGTTTACTCGATGATGTTCGGCCCGTCTTCGAATACCTTTATGCGCAAATGGCTTGTAGATGATCAAAAGAGTCGCGAGCTGAACTGGCCCGACAACGTCCTGGATCAAGATCATAAGACCATGGTGTTTGACTACATCAAGCCGCTAAACGCACCCGTGGGGCCAAAGCAGACCAAATGTATCACTACCAACACCTTGATAGCTTTTGATCTGGAAAAGGCCGTCAGTGTGGACTGCAGCACTGCAACGCCAGATGTACCCAGCGGCAATGTATTCACAACCAAGACAAAGTACTGCTTGATGTGGGGTCCAGACAATTCTACGCGCATGGTGGCCAACTGTGTAATCGAATGGACGGGCAAAAGCTGGCTAAAGGGTAAGTGGATCCATTGACAATTCCCGCATGGCTAACTCAGCTAGGCCCCATTGAAAAAGGTGCGTTCGATGGGCAAACGGACTATGCCAAATCCCTGGTGGCAGCGCTCAGGTTAGCACTTGCTGCCAATACGGTCTCTAGGCGGCCAAAGAAGGGAAAGCGACGAGGCACAACAAGGACAGTAGACGGCGGGGCTTCTACAACCACGTCTGCTCCTGTTGCGATCAGCCAGCCCCCAAAGTGGGGTCTACTGGAACCGTTGCACCAGGTTCTCGAGCCTATACTGGCACTTGTCAGACCTTTGATTTCTTCACCGGTCGTCATTGCCGTCTTATTAGCTTGGCTGGTCTACCCTTGGGTGTTCTCGCAACGCGGCAGGGGCGAGATGGGGCTTGGTAGCTACCCTTCGCCGGAGCGATTGTATGCTTATGAGCAGATCTGGAGAAAGGAAGAAAGTGAGCTGTGGCGATGGCTCGAAGATCGAGCTGGTCTAGACCGCCTGCAATTGCCAGAAGATGTACAAGATAGACGGCGGCGACTGCAAATGCGGGACATGGGACAGAAGCTGCAGCACGAGCAAATGCAAGCGCGACAGATGGTTGATGCCATCCGAGTCACCGAAGAGCGGCTAGAGGTATTGAAAGATGCCGTCAGGAGGAAGAAAGAGACATTGTCGTGACCGATAGTCATGTTCCCTTGTCAGATTTCTTTGCAGGGCCACGGTGGCGTTGAGCATAGCGATTTTTTACCTTTTTATCCATGTTGTTCATCAAATTCACATTGTATACCTCGATCAACATCAATATGGCTCTAGTACACGGATTCCCGGCATTTCAGCTTTACAGTGGTATGTAAGAGTGCGTCGGCGGCCTGGCAGGGAAGAAAAGGTGAGATCTTTGTGGGGCGGAGCCGCAATTACCGATACTGTCGATCGATCTACCATTGGATGAAACTGGATATATGTGTCTCTTGAAAAATTCAAGGCCAATCCATCCACCAAGGTTTCAGTGTAAGAAGCAGGGTGGACTGAACACTCAATTGACCAATGTGGAGACACCTAAACAAGTATACGGAGCGGACCTGGGCCTTTAGAAGAGATCGAATGAGCAAGTGAACATAAGTCGCCTTGACAAGGGTAACTTCTGTATTGTCACAGATGTATTGCGAAGTTTTTCACCGAAAATGCTGTTTTTAGAGACGAAAATGTCTGCACAGAGAGGCATAGTATCCTGATCACCTACAGCAAAGACCGGCGAGTGAATGATTGAGGTTAGGGAAAAGGCACAGTAACATTGACATTGCTAGACAGTACACAGCAAACCTTGTTGTTCAACACCGCAACCGCTACGATACACCCTGCATAACGGTTCACTCTTCAAAATTTTTTGAACGTCAGCAGCGCCTGTAGCCTGTCCTTATCGATCTCAAAATGCTCGTTCAAGCAGCATTTGATGTTTGATGGTCCAGGACATAGGCCATCCTTGAAACCACTTGCACAGCCTCGTTTGACATATCGGCACGTCCCCTCTAGAGAGCCCGAATGACAGCTGGCGGAAACGCAGCATTTAATAGCTTCGGGGTCGTTGGGACAAGAGCCGTTGATAGTGAACCCTGGATTATCGTGTCAGACGGGGCTATGTATGTCCTAATAAGCGTACCCGAGTCACAATTTGCAATGGACTGGCATGTTCCTGGAGAATCAAGGCCCTTGCACGCATCTCCAACTTCGGCAACGACCGTAGAAGCCGCCAAGAGGGTGAATATGACAGTTGTCAAACCTTTCATGGCGAGTAGTCGGCTGGTGTTGAAGTTGTGATGGCTGCTAGACAGAATCAAGAGACTGTTTACCCTGAGGCATCCTGTAGGATGAGTGGCGGCGCCTACAGGATCCCGATTGGATCAACAAGAAATCACCTCGAGTCCCTCCAGCCTATAGCATTGAAGAGCTGAACCTCTGCATCATGTGTTCAATGGTCAGTTAGGCTTAGCATAGCCTGCGTCAGTTTTAAGCTATTGAACAAAGGGGTTCAGGTACGCATTTTGCTGTACTGTGTCAAGCCATCCAAAGGAGCAACATGAAGCCAACATCAGCCACTTGCATTGTTCGTCCAGGGACAACGGAGTCCTTCAAGAGGGACGGTCTTGTTCCACAATGCTGCCTCTAGGTCTGGCTCCTCTTCAGCCTTCTCATCAGAGGATGACACGGCTGAGGCTAAGCAACACTGTCGCACAGCACAGGTATGTTTTATCCACAAGGCATAACTTTATACGTTTTTCATAACGTAGTACTGCTAGCTCCATTCAGAATGGCCACGTAAGCAACAATTTGGATGATTAGCGTCAGTAATAACAATCACACGGGTACGATCTGTAAGCAGAATTGGTATACCTACTTTGAAGCTTAATGCATGTGAATTGCCGTTGCGGCCGCTGACCGTTCAGCGTCATCTCATGACGGTTAACGATCATTTGTAGTTATAGCAAACAGTATCTTCTGATGAATGCAGCAAACACACGGCTTCAACCGTGGACGCTTCTCACGGCTCGCCTATTTTTTCCGCCGTGCATCAGCCCTAAATTCCAGCTTCCCGGATATCGGTGTCGGAAAAACGTTCGGTCCGTGCGGGCCGTTGCGCTACTGTCAACGTCCCTTGCACCGAACGAACCAATATCCCTTGCACCCTTTGCTAATCCATGGACGGCCCAGTTGTACACCATGGACGAATCCGAACTAATTGTTTCCCCTCCGGCTTCTTCCCAGGGCTCTCCAAAATCTTCAAAATTTCCTGAGACTCGAATCATGGTTTCGTCAGGTGCCAACAAGGGAGACCTCCAAGCAATCGTGAACAAGCAAGCAGCTGCGCTCCAGGCACTTCACGATACTCTGGAAAAGCAGAGAAAGGCTTTTGCTGAAGAACGATTAGCTCTACAAATGCAAATCACCCATCTTAAACAGCTTTTCGGGCTTGATAATGGCTCTGTAGGGTCCAACAAGTGATTCAACCCCGTCAAAAAGCCATGCACCCTTGCTGACCCCCGACAGTGTACCCTCTTTCTCATTTGTGAAGGATTCTCCGGCACTATTGACTAATGGCGAGGCCGAGAACCCTCGGAGATCTTCAGAAGACGGAGGCACGATACCACTCCACCGCAGACGGAACCTCGTCGTGCCACCAATGAAACGCAAAACATCGCGTGATGACAACGGGTTTGTTACAGAACGGCACAATGATCACTTGGCGGTGTTGGAGCAGCCATCTCCACTGCTTCTCTCCCCTCTTCCCCCGGGTAATCGAATATATGCAGGCCACACCCCTCCTGTTCCACTCACACCTTCAATCCAAGTCGACACCCAAGACTGTGAGCGTGACACACCAACCCGCAACAACACCGACATCAACCACAAATTGACACAATTCACGAAAGAAGACGAAGATAAGGGTCTCAGCGGTCCACTCACATTGGAAAATAAACCCAGTCGATCCGGTCCCGGCCACATTCGATTCGACGATCTGGTTCGACGGATGGAAGAAATAGCCCAAGAATCCCAACGTCCTTCAGTATTTGCCAACCCAAGTCCTGGCCTTGCCTCGCCTGTTGAAGAGCCCGAACAAATCGACCAACCATCGCCGATCAAATCTCACAACAAAGAAGAACACCTAGCGTCTAATGCAGCCATCGATTCGCCCAGAAACGCCGTCGAGCTATCGGAATCCGACACTTCTCCCCTGGCACGGACATTATCCAAACAAAAAGAGATCGATATCGCAAAACATCATGCTCACTTGAAAGAATGTGGCATCATCCCAAAGAAAGACCTTAGTCTAAATTTTGGTGCCCCGTTAGGTCACTTGCATTCATAACAAAAAGTTGGGCGTGAAACCGTTGTTTATCAATCTTTGGATGAGTCTTGTTTTATGTAGCTGGAATGACTGTTCTAGGTTATGATACTTTCTAGGTATTCAATGTCTTTCTACTGACTTTCGTATCCCTGTTCCCATCAAGTGTAAGGCTAACCGCTCATCGTCGGTCCTGGATGTAACAGGTTGTTGGAATCTGCACACAGTTGTGGGCCCCAGAATACACCGGATTCTGTGTCATACATGGCGTACTAACTTTTCTGCCAGATCGATCCACTGTATTCAATCCAAGTTAGACCGTGGGTAATTAGCCACCTACGAATTTTCGTGCATCTTCCCCTTTCGTCGAACAAAAAACACATCAACGAATGGGGATTGCTGGGGGCAAAAAAAGGCGCATTGCAACCATCGGGAGTCGAACCCGAACCTGCTGCTTGGAAGGCAGCAATCCTGACCGTTAGACCATGGTTGCATCATAGTGTAGTTTATGGTAGTTGGTGAATATATAGTAGCTTGCACTTAAACCACGGCTCTGAGCACGAGCGGATTTCCAGCTTCGAGATAGATGAAGCAACATGATAGCTCTTAAGCAATAAGAGTGAAAAACATGCCGAGGGTGAGACCACAAAACGACTGATTGTCTATAGAAATCTACCTAACCTTGGGACAGTTATCCTTCCGTGCCTTTTTCTTAGCCGGTTCATACTCTGGCTTTTTCTTTGGGCGACATCCCAGTCCCTCTTCAGGACTCCAAGTCTCAAACTTCGACAAGGGCACATCCCTAGGCGTTGAGATAAACTCCACTGGGGAAGGAAAAACCGGTGCCTTCCACTTCATCACCGCAGCAGTCAACTGCTCCTTTGCGGCATTTTTCTGTTTCCCCAGAAACTTATCGGGAATGGTATATCTGATCCTCGGGAGCAACGAACACTTATTGAGCCGCGCCTTGCTATGGTGTTTGATACAATTAGCCCACTTTGTGACTGGCATTGAGATTTAACTCATGAAGCCCTGCTACCAGAATTAGCCGAGGGCTTCAAGGTCTCCGTAACCGATGATGTGTGTTACGCCCATTATGGAGCGGATGTAGTCTTTGAACTTGTCCATGAGGTAGCGGCCTGGACCACTCTCTTGTTGGTCGGTGGCGAGGTTGATGATTTCGACGAAATCTCGTTGCGCGAAGGAGTGATGGGTTATTGCTCCGATGACTTCGCCGGGAAGCCGGAGAGGGCGGCGTTGCTGCCCTTTGGCGGGGCTTGGACTACGGCTATGGTTTCGTGGTGGGGATCGAAGATGATGTGCGTGGCGTAGCTTGGGAGCATATATGGGAGTTTGTTTGTGATGAGACATTTGACACCGGTGAAGACTTTGATGGTTCGGTTATCGGCGTTGGTGCTATTGAAAACTTCGATGTGGAATTCGTCGCTGATTTCACGTTGGCGGGAGGCGTTGAGTTTTTCGGACAGAGTCCTGGTGTCTTTTGTGGGGGTTCCTCCTTCTCCTCATGCTCGTCGCGCTTGTACTTGAGGGAAGAGGCCTGCTCCTTTTTAGGTATCTTGGAGAGCGGGTGTGGGCGTTAAAGTCGAAGTCTTGGTGCCTTTTTTGCCGACTCGAGCGGACTGTGTTATATATATATAATGCCTGCTTCGGTCTTTGTTCAAGTGTGGGAGACCAAGAGATCAGCACCTTGGTGAGCCTGATGCTTTGTTGGCAAACAAGCTGCCTTTTTCTACGTGACCAAGGCAGATTGCCGTGGTGTGCTTCTTTGTTCTAGCCAAGGTAGTGCTGGTCAACTCGATACAGCAAGGCTCGGAACGTGGGAACAAAGGCTCATCACAATGCACTTGTCACCACCGTTGTGATACCTGTGGTCCTTTGTCTCTTGCTTCGCTCCGATTTCGTGTCGCTGGCGGAGAAAACAACAAAGAAGTATCAATAACCGTATTCAGGCAATGCAGACGCCGTATCAACCCGTTTAACATGACCGATGAACGTCCCGACCTAGTCTTGGGATATGTCAACCCTTCCTCTTTGCCAGTGAATACATGAATTCCTCATCGTCGTGAATAGTGTTTGTGCTCAGCTGTCCCACTGTCCGTAGCCAGAGAATTTAGAAGCTTAAACATAAGCTAAGATGTAAGCTTAAAAGAAGCTTATCAAGTGCAACAGCTTAAATGTAGCAGCTTTTTTGAAACCGGGCACATGGGGCAAACCTGTTCGCGATCAGGCCCATGTAGCACCATCGTAAATACATTCCCGAGCATATGGGATCATTTCGTCGATATGACGGGTTCCACGGATCTCATTTTTCGTCTTCGCTGGAACCCTCTTCCCGAGGAGGATCCTCTGCATGTTCGCTTCCATCCTCTTCCTCCCCGCTGGCATCCAGCCTCTCCAACTCATCCGCAAGAGGACTCACTCTCGGCTCTAAACGACCCTCATCTTCCAGCCAACCTCGGGGATTAACCTTTGGTAAACTCGTTGCACAAACGCGGGGTTTGGTGAGCAAGTCATCGATAAACTCATCAATATAGGTCAACGTCCACGACTCCCTTGCTCTCTTCTTTAGCTTCCTCGAATCAGTCAGATACGGCTCTAGAGTGGTGTAAAGATCCTCATCCTTCTCCCACGTGAGGCGTATATAAAAAGCCGCCAGCGCACGGAGATACTTCCACTCTTCGCCAGCATGGTTGAGGTAGAACAAAATAATTTCCCGCTCTGGGGCAAGCTGTAGGAGCTTGAAAGCTAAACAGAGAAACGGCGTAGGTCTCTGCGCTACGCCAAATGTGCCTCCGATGAAGGTGAGCTCCGCTGCACGATCGAGAAGGGTCGCAGCGTTGAGTCCAAAGCATTGCTCCTTCCAATAGTAGCTCGCAACAACTCTGTCGCGAACGGCTTTCTCGAAGAGTTTCAATGGATTATCGCCGTGGATGAGTACGCCGCTGTATCCCCGCTCGTCGAGGGCCTTGCGCGCGTCCGCTTGGTGAGTCATGTTGTTGGAAATTTCTCCATGAGGGTTCTATCGTTAGTTGTGGACCCTGAGCTTTTAGCATGCGCTAACTACCAGATGTGCGGGTACGCTTCCCCAGCAGATCTACAGGCATTAAACTCTGTCAGTCCTAGCGGGCATGTCAAGGTCGGCTTCCAGCGACATTCCGGATGATATTTTAAAATGCGCCGCATCCTCCTCACGCAAAGCCAAGCCACCATACTCTTATCTTCGGCAGTAATCTTCGTCTTCACACTCGTTTTATTTCTCTCGGGCTACGTCATCCAGCAGCGGACCCTTAGCGGTCTTCAAGCTGCCATTAAACCGTGGGTTCCGCCAGCACCACCACGACCGGGCCAGTCCCTCCCCGCAGCCCTCGCGTCCAGTCGCCATTTTAGCGGCATCGACAAGCAGCAGCTCCTGTCATTGACAAAGGATGTTGACTGGACAAGACTCGCACACGTGCAGATTGCGCGCACACACCATGATGTCTGCAGCGCAATCATGGTGCTGGCCGAGTTGCGCAAAAGCAAGAGCCCAGCAAGGCGGATGCTAATGTTCCCGCTGGACTGGGCCATGACGAAGAACACCAGAGGCGACTACAGCGACCCGGAGCTGTCGAGCAGTAGGCGGTTGATGAAGCTCGCGGCGCGGAGATACGGCGTGGAGCTGAGACCGATACACCCCGTGTCATCGGTGTACACAATTGCGAGTGCATTTGCGCTGAAAGAGGTTGATCGCGTGCTTGCGCTCCAGGCTCCGGGGCTGGTCCTCGACGCGATGGCATTGGATGCGCTGCTTGCCTTTTACGAGGAAACCGCACCTCTGGCGGTTCTAGATGGGGAAAGCGAGGACGCCACGGATCTGATGCTCTTGCAGCCGGATCAGGACGCCCACGGTTCCCTGATAAAGCAGATACATGTCAATTACAACGACAGTCTTCTGCCCACTCTGTTGGAACCGGCGCGGCTTTCCTTTGCGCTGCAGACGCTGGCGCCGCTGCATTCGTTGATGCCCGACGATTATTTTGACGGAGAAGGCTTCCTTAAGAATGCGTCGTATCTCCGCTTCCGGGACCCCAAGCTGCCTGGACCAGAGTATGATATTCCGTACTCGGAGCGAGTGGCGGCGAGGCCTAAGAACAAAGATGCCGATTGGACATGGACGAAGCTGTATGGCCGCTTTGCACAGAAGAGAATGGAGATTTGCGGGCTGGAACTAGAGACGTGGAGGCCGTGATGAATACACGATTAGATAGATAATTTACACTGAATGCTGGCCAAAGAACTTCTTTTGCTCTAGACATCGCTCGCTTTGGCAGCCAGGACAGCGGAGCGTCATCTGGCGGCTGCAGCTAATGTTCTCGCGCAGATGGGCGGCCGCAATACCTGCCAGGGCGTTGATGAAGGTCGGGCTGCCGTTGAGGCTTTCTGCCCGCCGTACGCGGCCCTCTGCGCCGAGCTGGTCGGCTTCATGGATGACCTCTTGGTCGATCTCGTAGAGCGTCTCAATGTGGTCGCTGGTAAAGGCTATGGGGATCAACACAAGGTCTTTTTGACCCTTTTTGACAAGGTTGGCCACCGTGTCGGACGTCTGAGCACCGAGCCAGGCTGACGGTCCGACCTGAGACTGCCACACAAGGCGGTAGGCGTTGCGGAAGCCCAGGCGCTGCTGCACCGCCCACACCGTCGCCGCCACCTCGGCGGGATAGGGGTCGCCACGGTTGACCACCGACATGGGCAGACTGTGGGCAGAGTAGAGCAGCACAACCTTATCACGTACTTCCTCCGGGTACGTCTGCAGCGCAGCCGTGATGTTCTCGGCAAAAGCTTCAACGAGCCCCGGGTGGGTGGGCCAGCGGTCGATAACTGACCAGCTGATGGAGCCGTCAGCTGGCGCGTCCGGGTTGCGCGACGGCGACTCCAGCCGCTGCCGCCACTTCCACAGCTCGTTCAGGCTGCTGCCCGTTGTCGAGCACGAATACTGCGGATACTGCGTGAAGGCCACCGCCCTCCCGCCGCGGCCACGACCGAAGCCGTCCTCCAGCAGGCGAGTGTACATCTCCTCTGTCAGCGGGTTGGCGTACCTGAAGGCGACGTAGGGCTTGTGGGGGGCTGTATCCGGGCTCGTTTTGTCCAAGATGTTGCACATTTCCTTGGCCTGATATTCGGTCCATTTGCGTATCGGACTACCGCCGCCGATAGCTGCATATTGTTTCTGAATCTTGGGAGTACGGCGGCGTGAGATTAGCGGCCCAATGTAGCCTTGTAGCCTCCCTAGCGGGATGAGGTCGCCGTCAGCAAAGAGGCGGGAGAGGAAGTCGCCAACCTCGCCCGTCGTCGACGGCCCGCCCATGTTCATAAACACCATGGCCGTGGGGCCCTTGGAGGGCGCCTGCGTTGCGAACCCGCGCAGTTGGGGCCTGATGAGTTTTTGCATACCTATCTAGTTGTGCTGTTTCTTAGGTTCTAGGTAGACGTCGT